TGGACAACCCGCATCCCTACAGGCCTGTCGGATGCCATGCTCCCTGGGGTCTGGCTCCTGATGTTTCCAACATCTCCCTAACTTCCACTGTGGCTCTATCTCTGCACTGAGTCAACAGACCTCCAGGGAGCCAACACCAAGGTCCCCTTTACAGAAAGACTGAGCCCAGGGCTGCTGCTGAAGCTCTTTATTTGGAGTCAGGTGGGGGGAGCGGGGGTGCTGCTGTGGCAGAGGCTGGTCCAGGTGGGGGTGGGGCTCTGTGTCCGGCAGCAGGGCGGGCTCCGGAGGTGCAGCCATGGTGGCTGCTGTGATAGGAAGAGGAACAGAGGTCAGTGAGGTCACAGTGGGAGTGGTGGGCAGGGGCAGGGGCTGCCACAGGAGCCACATTCAGTCACTGCCTGGCCAGGAGGCTTGAGAGCCATCCCGGCCCATCTAACGAGCAGGCCGGCCCTGGGCATCCTCGGTGGGTGTGCAGGCTGGGGGATTGGACCGAGTGGAGACCAGGTGTTGAGCTGACATGGGAGGGAGCCCACTACAATGCCTGTTCTGTGAAAGACCCCATAGGACCTCCCTGGTCAGCAGGGTGCAGGGCACAGTTAAAGGAAGGGTCTCCCCACGTGTCCAAGGAATCACACCCAGGTCAGACCCCTGAGATGACAGCCTTTGCCTGGCTTAGACAGGGTCTCTCCCGCCTGGGTGGGATGGGACAGGGACAGAGCAGAGGGGCCTTCGAACTCCATGAACTCAGCACTCTGGGCTTTTCCAACGTCCTCCCAAAGCGTAACTTACCCTAATCTCCCTGGGGAACGCAGCTTTCTGTAGAAACCAAGAAAACCCAGAGGTGAGAGGACGCCCTGGTCACCAGCCCAGACCCCATCACTGTCCACAGCTCAGACCGTTGACAACCAAGTCCCAAGATAGAGCCTTGGCACCCCTGTGACACGTCACTGTGATGCCATTTACCCCACAGAGGGGAGAGGGGGACACGAGGGGAATGTGGTCAGAGCCGTCCTCTCACCCATCTGCGTGGGTATGAAAATGTTGTCCTCCAGGAATCCCTTGTGCTGTATGAATTTCTTAAACTCTTCCAGGGCGTCTGGGTTCACGTCGGGACTCCTACCTGTGGGTGAGTTGGCAGGTGAGCCGAGTGGGGGACGGCTGCACGGCTCTGCAAGGACCCAATGCCCTGAGGAGACGGCCACCACCCTGCATCGGGGGCTTCACCGTGGGGCGGCCAAGGGCAGGGGGGGAGGCCACAGAGTAGATGTAGAGCTCTCGGGTGGGGACAGATGACAGAGGAGATGGCTGATGCCCAGCTGACAGAGCCCCAGGAAGGAGAGCAGTGGAGACACCCCAAACCACTGAGCAAACTCGGGGGACCCAGGAGGCTCTGAAAGCTGCCCTGCTGGGTCATGCCCCTGACCTGGAACGACCTCGTGTCCCGAAGGCACTGGCTGCCCTCCCCCCTGGAGGGTCCCTGCCCCACGAAGGCCACTGTCAGGACGCTCCCTCTGACACCCAAGGCCCCAGGAAGCAGCACTCGGCAGCTGTGAACACCCTCGTGAGTGCTCAGGTCACCGAGGGTCATGTCTGGCCCTGTCCCGCACAAGCCTCTCCCAGTCTGCCTGGTTCTCACTCAGGGACCTCGGGCTGGCCGCCAGGCAGCACAGGATTCCAAGCACAGGAAGGTGAATGCAGGGGGATTTCTATGACCCCCGAGCACATGACTGATGCTGGTTCCACTGGCTTCTGGAATCAGAGACATGGGGGTGGGAGACGCAGGTCTCCAGGGCCCCTCACCCATGAGCTTTCCGATGCGGCGCAGTTTCCCATGGAGGTGGCATTC